GTTAGTACGGTTAGTAGATATAGTAAGTAAATAGTGGACTAATTAAGTAAGAAAGAAAGTTAAACTTTTAAATTTAACTATATAATAACTCTTGTCACACAGAGCGGTCAACACACATAACTCCACACACACACACACACACACACACACACACACACACATATATATATATATGCAGACAAATGTTTAGTTGGAATACTTAATCAAAAATTCTGAATTTTTGGCTACTAAAGACTTGTAACATTTACTGAAAACTTGTCAAATTTTGTGAATCTGCATTAAGTACTTTTAGACTTATAGTATGTATACCTTTATGGTTACATGGTAGTTACAAAGATGCATAAAATACATGAACTGTTGCAAAAGGGTGAATGTACTAATATTTTAAGATCAGAATAACTTTTTAATAAAAATAGCCTATCCCTAAATATTAATTTGTTAAGGGCTTTGCACTATAGTAAAACAATCCTCCATGATCTAGTTTTAGGAAGATGATATGAAGCCTTGTCCAGAGCTTTTACCCTCCGTGTATGCAAAATCCTAGCTACTGTTTATGTACACCCACCATCACAGTCCATGACAATTAATGTAAAGAAAAAGATTTATGTAGCCAAAACAAATTTTATGCATAAAATACAAATACTGACATGCTAAATGTACCTGTATGCAATTTTTTGGAGCTAATGATAATTTAGTTTTTTTGCTATCCATGTCCTAACTTTTCCTTGGTTTTTTGTTTGGAAAATGAAACTTATCGGGAACATACAACATAAAATTCACTGACTTTTCCTGGTTTCCTTGACCCATGGGAACCATGTACATATTAAACCTTTCACTTCAACCATACTCTTCAAAATCTTCAACTCATGAGGTTTTACTGAGTTACATTTAAAATTTAATTAAACAATTTTACTGTCAATGTATTCTAGTAAAATTAGCTTTATTATTTATGTGATGATTCAAAGTTTTATATAAGTTTAATTCCTTTATTTCATAGAAACCTTTAAATCAAAATACTTAAACTTCAGTTTTGTTGTTACATGATACACAAGTGATCACAGATCTTAAGATTTTTGTCTCTATTACTTCAATAACACTTCATTTATAAGTTACATGTATGTCTAGACTGAATATACTCGTATGGCACTGTTTATGGATGCTTAGCTCCAATTCCATCACTACATCAGAGATCAGAGAAAAATAAATTTCCTCACCCCCTTGACAGTAGCCACACCCACCTTTATATTTGAACATGTTATTTCAGGTAACACGTACTAATTTGACATGTTTATAGCCAATAGAAAAAGCTAATATTACACTACATTCTTCCAACTGTTATTTTTTTAAATTGGATGTAATATTTGTTACCAAATATGTCAAACAGCTGAAGAACTGTTTGCTAATTTTATCCTCATTAGCACTTAGCATTGTCTCTCACCTAGATACATATTAGTAAAATAGATATTTCAATTGTATTTAGGTTTTACTTCTTATATTTTAGTTAATTATGTATTATTTATGTTTTTAAATTTATATTTGAAAGGTTTAATAATTTTTCAATACAATCCTAACTTTATACCAGTTCACTTACTATGCAAGTGCAAAAACATTTTGCTGAAGGCTTGGGTATCTCTGCCAAAGATATTGTAATATGTCCCAAGGGCACCCGATGGCAGGTGTCGAGAAATAGTAATAAACCGTAAAGGACAGAAAAGGAAAATAAAACATTAAAAATAAACTATAAGTGAAAAGGTAAAGATCTGAAATTATTATTGTAACCAAAAGAAGATACTTTAAGATTATTTAACAAAGAATTAAAAGGTAATTACACATTTCTTAATTTTAAACATATCATTGCATAGTACATCGACTATAATAGGTAAAGTTAGTGATATGATAGATAAAATGAAAATATAAATATTTACCACAAAAAATATTTTGATATACATTTAGGAGATTATAGAGATTATGCAAATGAAATTTGAAAACTGTTAGATAAAAAAGTGTTTTTACACTTAACATGAAAATCACCTTGCACTTAAACTACTGAAAATCTGAGTTCAAATAACTACAATAAATAATAAATTTTTAGTAGAAATGGTAAAAAAGAAATATATATTTCTTTTTTTTCAAACTACTTGCCTTTAGAAAGGTCCTCTCAAGTTTCAAACAATTTCATCATGTAGGTATATTTTTGGAATAACATTTGAGAAAGTTACATAACCTAGTTACAATGTAAGTAGGTTGAAGTTAAAGGTTTAATGTGAAATATCCAAGAAAATTATACATCAGTTTCTGTCAAGAAAGTTGATTGATAATGATATATCAGAATTAAGATATCACATTAAATGTAGTGTGTGTGATATTTCTTACATCCCAGATACTAAAGGACAGCTTTCAACATTACTGAAAGAAAAATTTTAATGCTCATCTCCTGCATTTGAGAATCTGGTTAAAAATATCCACTCTCCTTTTATTTCTCAGATGTTAAAGTCATTGATAAAGAAAACAACAAGAATTGTACATTAATTAAAAAAGTTTTCTTCATCAAAAATGAAAACCTAACATTAATAAATGTAGATGGGGACTTACATTCCTTACTTAGCTATTTTCTATTACATCATTGCTTAATGTTCTTTATCTTGTAACAAGTGACAGTTCTCAAATGTTTTGTTGCATTCAAAGTGTATCACCTGATGATGCTATGTAAACCTAACATATTTACCTTTTTATCCATACATAAAACTATTTTTTGATTGGTAAGTTCATTCTATAATTCATTCTGTACATTATTTTTGCTAACAGTAAAATAGGACATTAGCATATTTCACATATATATTTATACAAAAAAATAACCATTTAAACTATAAAAATGTATCAACACAAAATTATCTTTAAAACGTGGAAAATACAATCAATTAAAAAAATTACTAATCATTATTCAATGCTTAACATAGCAAAGTGCTTTAAAAATATCTTTACCTAGTTGAAGTGTTTAAATCACATGCAACTTAAAGTTTATTTTACTTACCAAAAAATGGCATAGAACGGAGCTCTGTATAGGCTCTGATGATAAGATATAATAGATAAATCACATATACTCCACCAATGATAAAGAAAAATACCTTGAAACCCTATAAATACAGAAAATATTTCATCATCATGTTAACTAATAAACTGGAAATATCAAACTAAAGTACTTTAAGCATCTTGTGAAAAGCAGTGAAAACAACATTACAAAAGAAATTATTTAAAAATAAGAATTAGAATGTATATCAAAGTTTGGTGCATGATAATGACTGTACTATATCATTAATTTCAAATTGTTGACCAAAGGAAGGAAAATCAGCCACCAATATTTGTCATTAGCAAGACTATTTGTCACAGTTACAGTGCTCCACAGCTGTATATGTGGAACATGTTCAGCAGCAAGTCACAATTTAAGTCTTAAACCTTTTGATCCACAGGTTGAAGAGCACACCCAGCTCAATAGTGTTTTTAATTTATGACACATCAAAATTTTATTTAACTTATAATTATATAATACTTACATCCAAATACAAATGTTTCTCCTGCTGTAGTTACACTTAATCATAAAATTTCAGGCACTCAACTGAATGTTACATATACAAGTCTTACATAAAAGTTTTATATGAGGATTTATTACTGAAATAGCTGTTAAGTCTAGCAAATGGTTTTATTTTATGTCTTTATCTTATGAATTACTGAAAATATAAAAACACATACACATTTGACAACTAAAAAGTCAACTCTAAAAACTTGTTTATGCATGATCACTGACGTATATGTAGGCATTGTCTTACTAAGCTGTATTAAATTGAGATGTTTATTCATGATATTAAGAAACTGTGTAGGATTGAAAAACATTAATGAACCACAAAATAAGAAACAAAATAACTAATATTCAAAGTGGTTTCAGAAGGTAGGCCTTCCTTCTCCAAACGAAATTATGCTATCTGATTTATTATTTTGTGGTTATGATGTTCAAACACTGGATAACTAAAAATGTATAAGCAATCAGGGATCCTCATAAGAGCCTGTATATGTTCTAAATGCATAATTTCATCTTATATAAGTCCTGTCTTACTTCACTATTAGCAACCTGTCAAAACAAGTTTGATTTCTCAACCATATTATATTTCTGATTTAACATTATCAAAAAGTAATTGAATTAATTTTTGTAGTGTCAAAGCTATCTATCTCTGTATCTGTAAAACTGGGCTTTTGGACATACACGGTTTTGTCATTTCAATGACAATGTGCTAGCCTTAACTTTCAATTTTTGCCCGCTGTCATAATTATTATTGAGATGGTAGAAATCATTAAATATCCCAAATGTGCAAATGAAACTTTTTAGTGTATGAAACTAAGCCAGAAATTTTTAAACTTTTCCCTTGTTTGAGGCTTATGTTTTAGCTCGAATAGTTTTAAAACAGTAAGTTTTGAAGTTGGTAACATTAAGAAGCAACTTTCTGCATGTTTTGTTTTTTCAATTTTCAAGTTTCTGAAGTCAATAAAATTGTAAATATATTGTCTGAAAACTTGAATTACTTTCTTTCTTGCAATCAATTTGCCATAGAGCTCCCTTCTTACCTTGTGTAGTTACACTAGAATGTAAAGCATTAAAATTTCTTACTGCATTATGAGGTGCCTCATGGCTATGCAGGGTTTATGCCTAGTAAGTTAGTAATGGTTTTCTACTAGTTGAAAGGGTAATAAATAAACTTAAGTTTCCCTCTTTCACTGAAGTAACTGCTTTGGCAGTTAATTTTCTGATTCCAAGAACTTGCACGATCTGTAACTTGAGGCCATTATGAATACAAGAGCTGGACAATTAACTTGATTAATCAATGACCCATGAGCACATATTACATAGATTAGTGTGATGTAAAATAATAAAAAATTATGATTAAACAGATTAATTTCATGACTCACAAAAGTACTCAACTAACCAAAATTATGATTTCCAATAATTACTCATTTTTATCCCAATTATCCAAGTAACAGAAATATTCTTATTATGTTTGTTTGTTTGTTGTCAAGGGAAAAGCTACACAATTGGCTGCCTATGGTCTGCCCACAACAGATATTTTTATTTAGCCATCTCATGATAATAATTTATTAGTTGAATGTAATCAATTAATGAAACTAACAATTAATTGATTAACTAATTCTACTAATCTCTTAGCTCTAATGAACACTAACTTTGTATTTCACCACCTCGGCCAAGGGAAGAGATTATAACTTGCATGTAAATTAGTAATAGGAGGACATAGATAAGTTTTAGATAAAAAATTGTGTAAGATGAATCCTAGTAGGTAAAAAAATAGACTTGAAATTGTATTTTCAAGATTTTAGCATGAAGTCCTCAAGAGAGTTCAAAACTCTGAAGCTTAACTGTCTCGCTATGGACTTGGTTGATTCAACCTAAATCTTGACACCAAATTTACCTTTAGTTTCCATAAAATAACTTTTAATATGTTTTGTTTATCTTCATGAAATTTTGTAAACTTTCAGTAGGCACTACAAGTCTTTTATAGACAAAAAAAATCAAAATTTTAAATGAAGTATTTTTACTAAAAATTTCTCCATAAATATAAGGTTCCAAAGTATAGACTGCTCTCAGTGCAAAGTGATTTGTATGTTAAGATTAAAAATACTTTTCTTAATCTGAAAATTGTTAAATTTCCTTTGTGTAATCTGTAAAACCTCTTAAATAAATCTCAAACATTTTTTTCAGTAAAACTTTGTATTTTGTCTGTTATTTTCTCCACCCTAACTCTATACAGGGTTGTTCAGTTTGACCGACCTTGTAACCACCATAAAAAAAAAAAAATTATTACCTTCTTTCTTTCTAGAATGACTTCAATATGTAACCAAAAACTCAAACAGCTTAAAGCTAGTAACAGCATACATTTCCACTTAAATTTTATTGCTTTATTGCCCTTTGAACCCTGTCTAACTAATAATCCTGCCACAGAGGTTGTAAGTCACTCGGTGAACATGTAGCTCATATTACCATATCAATTTCTGTAATGCATGAGCTACTTGCAAATGTACTTCAAGAAAAAATTTTTTTTCTTCATTTTGTTTAATCTGACCTTATATGACCTAATAAATTGGCAATTTTAAATTGTAATTACTTTTATGATAATAAATAAACAATACACATAAAAAACAGAAAATATAATACTTAACTGGGTCCTTTTTTTTTGCTACAGACTGTCAATGAAACTTAACCCTACTTTTTATATTAATGGTACTATTCACTAAATATTTTTTTATTTAATTAAGTAACGCACTTAATAACACAGAATAACAGCATATAATTTATGGCTCTGTAACCAAATAAAATTGTAGACTGTAAAAATTATGCTTTGCCAAAGTAATAACAATATTATAATGAGTAATTTACATTAAATTTCTCACTTTTCAAGAGGGGTGGTAAATAAATTAGAGAAGAGACCATACCTGGAGAGCAAAAGTTATACTTCTCATAACAGGGGAGATTGAAATTTTTTTAAATATTTCCTCATAAACTTAAAACCTATGTAATATTCAAATTTGATTTATTAACTATGTTTTTATGCCATGTTTATCTGTATACTATGAAAATAAAGTAGTTGAATTAAATTTTGAATGTAACTCTAAAAAGTCATGACATGTGCACTTTGACCTGCTTCTAGCAAGAGTTAATCATTATTTTTAGGCCTAAAAGGTTTCCCTTCACCATGTAATGCCACTAGACAATATTGTTTTCCACTTTCTAGTACTAATATGCATTTTACTAATGATGTCAGTAACTGCTAATATACTTTTGACTGAAATCCCCTTTATTTTGCATATCAGAAGAAAGCATAATTGTGAATGTTCAATTTTCAATGGATTAATTTCACCACTGTTTTCTCCATTAACCACAATGACAAATGAAAAGTATTTTGCTTTTCTCATAATGAAAAAGTTGATCACAAATGACAGATGTTTAATCTCTGTAAATCTTTAATATACCATTAAAGCTAATATAAATAGACAGTATCTATCTTACTATATCTTACATACAAAAGTTACCTCTGTACCCTTTTTTAGAAATTAAGTACAGCTGTTTCAAAGACCTCCCAATAATTGTTAAATTTGTGCTAGGACAAATTCCATCATACAACTAGTTTCAAATTACAATAAAAAGTTTTTGTAATATGACAAGAAACTTCCAATGCTATTTTTTCAAAATAAACAAAGCATACAAACCAATACAACTGATTTATTGCCTTTACATTATGTGGCATATAAGAAACTAGAACCGAATACTTAGATTATTTGAAGACATGAGATCAAGCTAAAAGTTTAGAAATTTTCATCCACATACAAAAGGAAAGGAGCTCTACTGAAAATAGACTGTAAGAAAGAAAACAATCCCAGCTTCCAAAAAACTTTAAAAGCTCGAAGTTGTAAAACATAAAATACAGTCAGCTTTGCCAACACTTTTTGGAAATAATCAGTTTTTCAAATAATTTCAACTAGAAATAAGCAGCAACATCTGTTAAGAAGTTTTAGCTGTGCAAGTAGAAAGTTTAAATATTTCACAAATAGCCTGCTAAAAATTACAATTGAAGGACTGGATGGGGGCAGCAAATTCAAAATTAGATTAGCATTTTGTATATCTTTTCTTACTTTATTAACAATAAATTTTAACAAAATATATAATATAAAAATTCTAAATCTGAACATTTCAGTTATAATTTTATACTGCATGTGATTGTAGTGAGAGAAGATCAAACTAATTTTTTTAAATTTTAATTACATTGTTTCCCCTTGTAAAGAACATGAGATATCATGTTGACAAGGATGAGTTATGGAATATTAAAATATTAATAAAGCACATACTTCATAAACATAGTTTTACAAATATGTGAAGAAATTAATTTGTTTTGTTTTTTAATTTGGTATTTTGTGAGTGAAATGTAAATTACACTTTTAAAGGTTTTACAAATAATATAAGAAAATTTAAGTTTATAGGCAAAAGGTTTTAATAGTAAAAACAAACATTAGCAGATCTGCAAATCTTACCAGAAAATAGAAAAAAAAAAAAAGTCCTCTCAGTGCAGGCTCAAGTATTACTGTGTTTCACATTTGAAAATACCCCCAAAGCATAATTTCAAAGTGTGATATAAGATGATACATGTGTTTACTCCTCACCATGAAATGTCCCGTGTCAACTTTGTAGTTATATGTAGGATCTCTCAATTCATTAAACTTCTGCCACGTTGCTAGAGTAAAAGCTGCAAGCCACAACAGCCCCACAAGGATGAATTTTGGAAGGTAGAAGGTTAAAAATAGTCTCTCATTCTGTAAAAAAGAAAACTCATTTTTGCTTGTATCTGTCTCTAGTAATAAATGTACCCAACAAAAATACTAATATCTTTTTAAAAATGAAAAGCATAAAACAATAAACAATTTAGTTATAAACATACACGTTAAAAACCTAATTACCTTTAAAATGTTAAAGAATGAAATAAAATTATTCAATCATCATATCTTGATGAATACTCTTGTAAATCTATAACCCATCAAAATGTTATACAATTCCAATATTATGTTATGTTACTGATACTTTTACATTGGACTAATTCTTTGAATAATTCATTTTCTTTATTTGACATCAATTCTTTTTTAGTTGGTATCTTTATATTTAATTCTGAAATTGTGTATTTAGTCTTACTTCTAAAACTTGAAGGTAAACTTACACTTTGTACACATGCAGAACAATGTCTCATTAACTTTGAAAACTGCTGCCTCTCAGTTTAATCATTCTTGCTTTATAATTGAATTGGTGTAGATCTGACTTAGGACATATTATAGATAAGGTTATTTCACTTTTAATACAAACCAATCATCAGGTGTCAGAGTTTTGTGAATTTTAAACAAATGTGATGAAATTATTATCTTTCCACATAAATTCTGTATCTTACAAACTTTTCAAGATAATACTGGTACTGAATATATTCCTGAATTTGAATCACATACTCTGATTAGTCTTTTGATACATTTCATAATGTTTTCTGTCATCTCTAAATAAGTTGATCCTTAGAAACAGCTACACAGGGATTCTGAGTCTTTATTGTCATTGCAAAATAATTATTTAATGCTACTGGCAATGAAATGGTCTTATAAATTTAAAAAATCTATCAGTTGCACTTAAGGGTATATCTGTGAACATTTGGTGTTTTTGACAGCTACAATTTTTACATCTGCTCATATGCAATACATGTAAACTTGATCACTATGGGCAGGTATTACAAACTGTAAATGTAGTGGTAGCCTCCTCTAAATTTAATTTAATACTCTCTTTAATTTACTAGATGGTAAAAAGTATGTACTCAGTTTCCAATGTTGAGTGTTTGCATTATCTTGCTTATTTAGTCATATACTTCTCTACAGTAAATGCCAGTTATATAGAACTGCAAATTTAAACTTCATAAAAGTTGCTTTGGTTTCATAAATAGATTTTCTATAATTCAGCTTTGCAGATTTCTAAAATAATACTCATTCTTTTTTGAGTGCGTAAAGATTTTTTTACAAATCAGGAAGAAAAAAAAACTCTTGCTTAAATCAAATTATCATTTCGTTTACCACAATGAACATTCTTTTATTATTATATTTGTTAACAAAAATACAAAAAAACGAAAGGGAAGAACACATGCATCCTCATTCATCCCGATTTTTTTAAATCTATGTCTTTTAGTCTCAAAACTACGTGTTGTGGTCTTTCTTTTATGTATTGCATCTGGAGCATCTTGTTTCAAGGACCAGCAGTAATCAGCCATCATGATGATGTTCAACCTTCCACGATACCTCCTCTTCATTTCCCTGAAGTCTTGATGAAACCCTTCCCCTTGTTCTTCACTGATGACACTGATATTTTCAGAGAAATAGTCAATATGTCATTGTAAGAATTGAACTTTCATGCTCATATTACAACCCAAATCTTTGAATTTATCGAGCATATTATTGACAATATTTTCGTAATTTGGGACCTTGTTGTTTTCTAAAAATTTGTCAATAACATCTTTAAAGGCAATCCACGCTTCTTTTCCAACTTTCCTTATTGTCCTTTTGAACTCTTCATCCAAAGTAAATTTCCTAATCTGAGGCCCAACAAGAATCAGATAAGAAATTATTTTTTTATTTCGAGTGTTGTAGCCTTGCACGTTACATGAGCAAAATAGCAGTCATCTCAATGGTTTCTAGGCTCACACCAGACCATTGGTGTTCCAAAAGGCAGACTTTTTCTTACCTTTAGTCCATTGTCTCAACTCTTTGACACAAATGTTGCAAAATTTGTGCAGATCCCATGAATTTGTCTTGGTCCCCAAGTTTTATTCCCAAATAAGCATAATTTGTTTTTTTAACAAATTCCGTAATGTTTTGCCTTTGTTCCTTTACAACAAATTTACCACAAATATAACAGAATATGTTTGGGTCATTTACACAACCTCTTGCTGCCATAGCAATAAATAATATTGAAAAGAAAAAATAATGTCAAAGTGCATGCACAAACAAATACTATCCACAAATATCACATCATGTGGCCTGTTAACCGTTTATATAGTAGCAATGTGTTTCTCGTGGGTTCTAGAATGATTGATAAGACTCTCACATCACGATTGGTCTAGAGAAATCTATAGCCAGTGTACAGGAATTACTGTAGAACATATAAAAATTTCAAGACAATAAAACCATTGCAGGCCTGTGTTAATGCAGTTTATTCTGAATTCTTGTATTAACAATAAACATTTTACCTCTTACCTAATGGAGATCCTTTTGTTCTACTCTGGCATGTATTAACTCATTTGTAATATTTAATCCTTTAACCATGGGTACCCCCGTTTAGCCACTTCTATGTAGAAGTCACAGAGTTTCATTCAAAATTTAATTAAACACCTTTAATACCAACGTACGTGAACAAAATTAACATTACAATGTATGTCATGATTCAAAGTTTTATGTTCTCTAAGTTTTAATAACTTTATTTCAAAAGAAACCTTTAAAAAAATACTTAAACTTCAGTTTTGTGTTGTCAAGTGACCCACAAGCAATGAAAAACCTCTACTTTTGCACTCATTATCTTGAGTCAGATGTAGATGTATGTCTAGACAATTAAGTATGTTTACTTGCCCTACTGAAATGCAAGTTTCAAAGTTCTCTTTCTGAATGCAGTAAAAACAAGTAATGTTTATAGTCATTAAAAAGAGCTCATTTTACACTATAATCCAACAATGGTTATTTTGAAATTGGTGCTCAGCTGTCATCATCAAGAAGGTGTAACTGCCTATATTATTGTTGACTGATTTATCTATGATAGTACTTAGTTTTTTCTTAGCTAAACATGTTATAGTTAGAGAGACAGTTAAGTTGCGTTCAGGTTTTACTTTTATATCTCAGTTAATTATGTGTTATTTACATTAAAAAAGCATAATTGAAAGGTTTAAACATTTTTAAAATTTATCTCAAACAATGGCCCAGTTCACAAGATTTTACACAAGTATAAGATAATTTTGCCAAAGGCTTGCAAGTCTCTCTAAAATATTGTAACACAACATGAAGGCATCATTGATTTGTGTCGAGATGATAAAATAAATGGTAAAGGAAAGGAAAATAACACATTAAAAATTAAGTATATGTGAAAAGGAAAAGACCTGAAATTACAAATATATAATCAAAAGAAGATCTGTCTAGATATTCTTCAAAAAAGTAAAAGGCATGTACATTTTTCTATTTCTTAATTTTAAACATTTCATTACACTTTATATTAATGATGATATCGCAGTTAGTGATTTAGTAGAGAAAATGATAAATAAAATACAAACATCTACCATAAAAAACTTTGATATTCATTTAGGAAGTTCTGGAGGTTATGCACATGAAATATGAAACTAAAATATTAAAATGAAAATCACCTTGCACTCAAACGATTAAGAGTTTGAGTGCAAATAACTACAATAGTTAATATACATATTTTTAGTAGAAACAATTAACATAATGTCATTCTCTGTGTACAAAGTATTTATAATGTTTAACAAAATCTTACCAGTTTTTTGTTTGTTTGAAGTTAAGTACAAAACTACACAATGGGCCATCTGTGCTCTGCCCACCACAGGTATCGAAACCCGGTTTCTAGCGTTGTAAGTCCGCAGACATACCCCTGTGGGGCCCAGATTTTTGTGAAGATACATTAAGAAATTTCACACTTACAGTATGATAGGCGAAATTCCTATACAGACCCCCACAAATTGCAGACACCCGTGCCGAAAGGGTAAATAATGCATTTGATGGTTGTCTATCCTCATGATCATGTACTTCTTATGTTTGGTTTAAGGAATTTATTATTGCAGTTTTTCACATAGCAAATGTATCATTTCCTTTAGTAACTGTATCTGATCATTTAATGCTGTTTTAAGTAAGAACTATAAAATACTTCCTTTTTTTCTGTCAATTACTGTCTTGAATAGAAACAAATTATTTAATGCTGTTTTAAGTAAGAACTATAAAACACTTCCTTTTTCTGTCAATTACTGTCTTGAATAGAAACAAATTCTTTAATGCCATTTAACTCTGTTAAAAGATCCTTTACTTTTTCATAACATTTCCTAATTAACCGTTTATAATTTTCTATTAATCATATTTGTATCACTCTCAATACCCGCGTCATTGAAATACCACCAACAGATAAAATGTTATCTTCTTCATGTTTAAAATTTACACTTGTTTCTCGGTTAGGGATTTTTGCAAAAAAATAATGTCCTGCTCTGAATCTAGTTATGAATTGAACATACTTAGGGGGATAGTATATCTTCTATAATTATCCATTTTTCACCTGATAAAGTTTCCTTCTTTGACTATTTTTCTGATCTGCTTTGCAATATTGTAAAAATATGTTTAGCAATGTTCTGTTGAATTTACTACTTCATCCTTCTTCTTTCACTAATAACAATCTAAATCCCAAACTGCTTCATAGCAATTTATGGTGCTTTTCATTACTTCTTTAAATTTGTAAATCATCTGTTTTGAGTAAGTCATTGTATCTCCAACTCTCATCCTACTCAGGGCATCAGTGTTTGAGTGTTTTCTAAATGATTTGTGTATCAAATCAAAATAATAATCTTGTAATAACAATAACCACCTTGCTACCCTTAAAATTCATCTTTTAGTGTCATTAATCACTGTAAGGATGAGGGACATGTAATGACAATGACTTTCCTACCATAAAGATAACAACAAAATGTTTCAATACCATGTACTACTGAAAAACTTTCCTTCTCTGTCACGGAGTAATTTATTTACCTTAA